CGTCGATTCGGGGCAATGGGTAGCCTTTCTTCAACGTTATGTCATTCGACTTCCTGTAGTTCATACTCTCGTCAAACCATCCTTCTTGCGTACCAGCACTATAGGGGAAGTCCAAGAACTTTGAAATGGTTCTATTACTCTTTGCATAGTGCATGTCTTTTATAGGATTACTGATTTCCTCTTACTTCGCCCATGGAACTCTCATAGGTGGTTGTTTAATGCGCCCTGCTGTTCCAGTGTCAATGCTGTAGTATGTTAAGTTGATCCTATCAAAGTTTTGATCTGACAGACGTGTTGAAAACGGTCAAAAAGTTCTTCCAATTGTTTGACTTGGTGCTTGTTGAGATGGTTACTTGACCGCTTTACCAATTCTGATAAAGTTGAAGGAAGTGATGTCGATTTCTTCTTGGGTTCTTCTTCCCAGTCACAGTGGTGGATTTCAGCTAGCAGTTCAAATACACCCAACTATGTGCCTTTGCAGATCTTTGCTCGAAGTCTTTCAAATTGGCTATTCTAACAGGTATCGATATTGTTCCACTTCTTACGAGCGTACATCCCACCAATGGTGCTTTCTATGTCAAGTCTTGATTATCCGATTCGACTAACACCATCAATCAGCCGTTGTAGTCATCTATTCTGACTCTTACAATACTTTCGAAGCTACTCGGCAGTACTCGATCTTCTTCTCTATGATCACTTTGTAGGCAGCAAGCTTCATCTTAGGATTTGACATTACTATCTCGTCTCCACCGATGTGTATTGTAGTAGTGCTCTTATTTAAGTCTATTCCATGTTCTTGAAGAAGGTCCAATCCAATGACGGCATCATCTACCATGTCGGCCACCAATACCCAACTGTATAAGATCGCATTTCCAATTCTAATTTCGACGTTGCATTCTCTATGGCTTGGTAAAATCTCCCTGGTAGCTGTAGTCAAAATCAGTCTTCTGGCCAAAGGTCGAATTCGCCATTCCGAAACTATATCATGGCGAACAATGGTGTTGGATAGCCCTGTATCGATAACAATCATTCTAAAATTATGCTGATTTATAGAGCCTTATATAAATAATGAATTAGAGCCGTCCAGTCTTGTCAGTCAGAAAAGATGACTTCTTCGGGGGCTTGATGAGGGTGAGCCAACTTGCACCCTATAAAGTTGGCCGATTTTAATTTTTTTAACTGCCGTGTTTTGTTTGAGGGGCACTCTCGACTTATATGCCCTATTTGACAGTAATTCCAACACTTCGGACAACCACTGTAGTTGTTGCAATCCCGAGCAAAATAACCAAATTACGCTGATGACCGACATGATACCTTCTTTTGTAATTAGGTTATCATCGGTTTCTGCTTTTCGTACACGTATATGGCCTTTGGAACCTTGCTTCGCCGCTTCAAACTCTAGAGCGTGTGATAGTACTTCACATGGACTCTTGTAGCGTGATAATCTTAGGACTTGTTGTAGTTCGACGTCCCTGACTCCATCGTTATATGTTTGTACCGCCAGTTGGTCTACCAATTTTGAGAGCAGAGGGGTAAACTAATCTCACGAGGCGCTCCACATCGGACTCAAATTGTTGAAGAGTCTCGGTATTTGTTTGGTTACGGCTTTTCGGTTGCATCTGATGTACCCATTGTAGATGTTTATCATAGTACCTCATTTTTAGGCGGTTGACACGATGGCGTTGGCACTCGTGCATTCCTTGGAGTATATCCCGCGCCTTTTCTCGTAAAGTAATTATTAGTGCTGTTGCCTTCTCTGAACCAATCCAGAAATTTGCCTCTGCCGCTGCTTTAGGTAAACACACCACGAAATCCTTCCATCAAAAGTTGGAGGTGTAATTTTTGATGGCCTTGCAACGGGATTATTAGCTCTCGCAGTAGAAGGTTTTTTTTAGCCTTTCAATTTCTTCTTTCATTTCTTCAATTTTCTTTTCCATTATGATTTTCCTTTCTCTTATCTTTTTTTCATAATAATTTCCCTTTCTTCTATCTTCTTTTCCAATTCATTTCTAATAGCATTTATCTTTTTCTTCAATCCCATATTTATTGCTTCCTGTACTGCTTCCATTTTTTGTTTCATTTCTTCTTGAGCTGCTTTTAATTCTTCTTTCATTTCTTCTTGTCCAATTTTCATGTCTACTTTATTTCTGTCATCATTGCTATCAATGCCTTTATTTATTCTTCCATTTTTGCTTATGTAGCTCTGGTTATAACAGGCATAAAATATTTTGATTTCTCCTAGAATGTTCGATAATGATTTTCAATTTTAGTAAAAGTTTTCCGATGATCTATGGTTTGCCTGAGTAAATCACGATCAGTGGAAACTTCTAGAAACTTCGAAGGAACTCTTTGATGACGTTTGTTCTTCTTTTTTCAAGAGCTTTCCAACGATACTTGACATGTTAAGGTTTCTCGCAGTCAATGGAAACTCGACCGATGAACGCTCTGGAATATTCGATGGAATTCTTCAAAATTCTCCTCCAATCCTCTTAGGTCTTCTTTAACCCCACATCTGACACCAAATGTCACCTATTTAAACACCTTCAGCACTTTAACTATTTTTATTTAACAATTTGTTGTCTAATTAACACTTCTAATATTAATTAGTTATCAATTCACCACTATATGAACACTTTGTCACTTCTTCGCTCCTTCTTCTTCGCTTTGTATTGCCTCGAACTCGTTCTAGTACTAATACTTACTCGTACTGTACACTCGATATCGCGACAACTATTTATAGAAACTGGTCGAGTTCTAGAATGATCTAGAGTATGCCGTCTAGAAGCCTGGTTTTGCCACTGTGTATGTTGGGTTGCCTGCATACATGTAACAATTACTTTTCAGTGTCATAGCATTGGACTAGTAACAGGTCAATTGAAAAGTCCCCGGCCTAAAATAGTAAAACACATTTTTTTTGCAAAATTCGTTTTTTTTATTCAACATAATTCCCTTCAAGGGTGATACACTGATTATAGCGATCCTCCAACTTTTCGATACCATTTTTGTAGTACGATTTGTCCTTTGCTTCAAAATAGGCCTCAGTTTCGGCGATCACCTCTTCATTCGACGAAAATTTTTTCCCAACGAGCATTCTTTTGAGATCTGAGAACAGGAAGTAGTCGCTGGGGGCCAGATCTGGAGAATACGGTGGATGCGGAAGCAATTCGAAGCCCAATTCATGAATTTTTGCCATCGTTTTCACTGACTTGTGAGACGGTGCATTGTCTTGGTGAAGCAGGACTTTCTTTTTCTGCAAATGCGGTCGTTTCTCGGCGATTTCGTCCTTCAAACGGTCCAATAACGCTATGTAATAGTCGCTGTTGATGGTCCTTCCTTTTTCAAGGTAGTCAATGAAAATTATTCCACGCGCATCCCAAAATACAGACGCCATAACCTTGCCAGCCGACTGTTGCGTTTTTGCACGCTTTGGAGCGGGTTCATCGTGTGCAGTCCACTCCGATGACTGTCGATTGGACTTCGGAGTGAAATGATGGAGCCATGTTTCATCCATTGTCACATATCGACGCAAAAACTCGGGTTTATTACGCGTGATCATCTTCAAACACTGCTCTGAATCATCAACTCGTCGTTGTTTTTGGTCAAAAGTGAGCTCGCGCGGCACCCACTTTGCACAGAGCTTTCTCATACCCAAATATTCGTGAATGATGTGATGTATACGTTCCGTTGATATCTGTAGAGTGTCTGCTATTTCATTCAATTTCAATTTACGGTCATTCAAAATCATTTTGTGGATTTTTTTAATGTTTTCGTCCGTAACAGCCTCTTTTGGGCGTCCACTGCGTTCACCGTCTTCGGTGCTCATTTCACCACGTCTAAACTTAGCATACCAATCCTTGATGGTTGATTTTCCTGGGGCAGTGTCCGGAAATTCGTTATCAAGCCAAGTTTTTGCTTCAACTGTATTTTTTCCCTTCAAAAAGCAATATTTTATCAACACGCGAAATTCCTTTTTATCCATTTTTTTCACAATAACAAAAGTTGCTTCACTAAAAATGCTATAATTCACAAACTAATGATCCGACAGCCGTCAAATTTATAGACGCGTCTTTTGAAGGTTAGGACTAACTGAAAATCATATGGATTTAGTTCTGGTGCCGCCATCTATGTGTCAGGCCGGGGACTTTTCAATTGACCCTAGTACAATTGGTTTTAAATCTTTAAAATGATATCAAAATCTACGTAAACTGGTAAATAATGATTTTGATTTTGCAAATCGGAATTTTGTTTTGATACGTACTTTTTATAAAATCCTTTTCCCTTTATACCGAACTTTAATAGCACTACTTTAAACAAACACTCAAACTAAATAAAAACAAATAACTAACTGAATTTTTGTACAATCGATATTATTCATATTATCTTCACCTTGCAACCAGGTATTTGTAGTTCGTCTGAGCGGGCGTCAAAACGATTGTGATTTTTAATATTTATGTTCAAAAAGCCACTAGGAATCTGTGGTTTCAATATTATTGATTATAAATATCATCCCCTGGAAAGGAAGTCAGGTAAATTAGGACAGGAAAAGCGGTAGAAATCTTAGAGGATAGTAGGGACATAAAAGAACGAACATCAAAGAGTCACTTTTGACAAAAAGAAAGCTCTCGAGCAATTAATTGGGAAGTTCGAAAGAAAAATGGTTAAAAGTGTATGTTTGGAGCTACGCGCAAGCATGCAGACAGAGAATACGGTTGAAAAAAAAATAGTTGGTAGTGTTCGAGGTGTGGTGCTATTGGAAAATGATGAAAATACCTTAAATAGAAACGGTTAAAAATGAGGAGGCACTGAAAAGAGTAGGAGAACTAAGGGAATAATGGAAGTGAATAAGGGAAATGAAAACCTAGATTGCGGGATATTCTATTGTTTGGAAAATACGAAGCTTGGTTCCAGATAAGGAGAGGATGTATGTGTCCAACCAGTCTTCGCACTTATGACTCTATGATGATGATGATAATATTAAATGTATCAGATTAGAAACATAATTGTTTTGTAAATTTATTAAAATAATAAAAACAAAGATAAACAAACTTTTATTCATTTACCGGATTTACTGTCGTATTATTTTTAGTTAGTAAAGCTTCTTGTTCTTTTATTTTAATCGCTTCTTTTTCGTCTCGTTTATGTTCTAAATATAGCCAGCTGAAAGTAAAAACAAAAACAGGAAAAAATAGTAATAATTCATAAAATTCAACTTACAAAAAGATTGCGACGGCAGGGATTGTTAAAACACCTCCTAAAATAAAGAAAAATCCAGGCAACCAATCTATAGTTGTTTTATATGACAGACTGTACATAGGCCCATATATTAAGGGCATTAGAGATTCACACACCCCAAATAGTGAGTTAATTTTTCCTAAAGAAAGAAAGAAAGGNTTGTATTTATTATGTATTCCGTACTCTCATACAAAGATTGAAATTAAAATTTATAGTTGAATATTTTCTCTACTTTTGATTTTCCATTATAATTTCTATTTTCCAATCATTAAGATAAAATTAAGAACGCGATTTTAATTTTAATACTTTAAATCGAATAATTTTCCGAAAATTTACAGTTAAATGCCTGCTACAAACCGAAAAGTTACACTTGCACCGTGGTTTCATAAAACCACACAATTTTATATAATATCAAACATTTTTGTATATGAACGTAAATGCAAAATGCCATTACAATACATTTAATTAAATTGTGGAAAACGATTATTATTTGAAAAATAATAATAATAATGATGACATGCTAAATAAAATATTATAAATCAAATTATTGTTTTAATTAAATTGAGTACTAATTAGTTACCTACCCAATTAATCAGGCAAAACTAATTTCGACATTACGGATCTCATTACAATAAAAGATGTCCCAATAAAAATTGCGACTACAGCACCTGTTAGTTATTATGTGTCAAATATATTTTAGATAAGTTGTTACTTTTTTGCTTTCCCAAGTAAAATATGGTCGAATTCGGAGCAAAAGCGAATACAAAACATTACAAGATTTTGCTGATAACAGAAACTATAACCAAAACTGTATCGTCGACTTTCAAGAATTTCGTAAAAAATGCCAGACTGAAAGCAGTACCTAAAATATTACGAGCAAATTAACTATCTGTGTAAACACTGAAAATTAATACTGTTAAGAATTTTTTATTTTACCTAGCATGTGTAAAATAAAAGCAAATGTAGAGAAAAGACTGTAGTCAATATCATTCTAGCGAAATCTGTACCTCACGAAAAGATACATTACTCCCATTTCTCCTATAAATATTATATGAAATAATGTTATTGTTATTAGTTAGGTTTATGAATCGTTACCATGCATTGGTCCAATAATAACCATCACAAGAACCATTATTACACAAATTCTTTTTTTCCTATTTTTCTCTCCTTTCTTAAAAGCCACCTGTAGTGTATCCGAAATGTGTTTGAAATTGAAAAAGTCTAACAAAAATGGTTTTTCTCTCTCATTTTTTTCCAAATTGTCTCGCGGTACTTCTTTCACCAAAAACACCATATACAGCAAACCCATCGTATACAAAAGTACAGCCAAACTATAAACACCATAAAATCCCATAATTTTGTACAAAATTCCACTCAATGAAGTTCCAATTGTAATGCTGACGTTAGAAAAAATATTAGCAGCTCCAATTCGCAATGTTCGGGTTTCCAACGAAGAAATGTTACTTATGTAGCTGAACATTCCCATGAACATAGCAAACCATCCTCCAGATATTGCCGGAGGAATCGATTCGACAAGAGCATTTACTTCCATCGGTAACTGATAAAAGAAAAAAACACATACTATGAGACACAACGAAGTGATTAGTTCTCCAATAATCGGAAGGATCATGCAAGGTTTTCTTCTTCTATGTCGGTCACTCCAAGAACCCAAAAACATAAGAAGCAATGCAGGCAATATGCTTTGAATCACGTTCTTCCAAGCATTCATGGAAGCGACGTATTTTTGAACTGCAATTTCTTCGGTAGCATTGTACCCACTGGCATTTCTAATTGCCAACGCTGAACAAACATCATCTTCAAATTGCAAATTCACCCTGCACGCTTTTTCCAGGTTTAAATTTTGAGTTGCGAGACTGGCCATGATACTGGGAAGAGTATAGCACAGCATTACCGGTTCGATGGTAATATTCTTAAGAACGACGCAAACTTTTTTGCAGAACGTATCTCCAGAAGAATTGACCACGTTCTCTTTAATTTCATTTCCTGCAAAGGACTCCAGTCCTGATTGCATGCTAAGGGATTTTTCAAGTGACATATTTCTATCTTTTTCTTCTACTTTTTAAAATAGAAACATTTACATCACTTTCTGATGTTAATCTAGTCGGGCCTATGGCGTTTTGAAAAAGGACCAAAAACAACTTTAGAAATTTGCAACTTGCAGTAAGCGATGTGCTCCGTTTTGAATATACTTTTAACGGCCTTCATAAATGAAAGATTATGAATGAAACTGAAAAAGAAATGTCGTCTTTACATTTATAAATTCGTCCATTGGAGACACATGCACACGAACATATTTATCTTAATAGTATCCATTGTAAAATCCAGACTTTTCTTTTAAAATTTATTATATGTTTGTCTTGTTCTTAATTAGCCTTCTACGTAGACGATAAGATAATAAATTTTAAAATATGCATATAATGTATACCAGAAAAACAATACGCAACGATGACAATTAAAAAAACTACATTACTTTTGCTAATGAACGTCCTACAAATAATTATAACTAAATTAACTAACTGGTAAATGTTTTATTAAATTGAAATCAAGAATGATCGAAAAAATATAAGGATACATTTGTGTGCAGGTATAACGGAAATTATTACAAATTATTCAACTAATTAAACAATAGCAGGCCACTGTGCTTTGGGAGGGGGGAGTGGCACACACATTAACCAACTGTTGTCTTGCAATCTTCCAACTACAGTTTTACATACACACATACGCATACAAACCCCTACATACAAATAACACTGTTCATAAAAGAAAACTTTTGGGTGTTTCATTCCCACCAGCCACTAATGCTGGTGGGCGGGCACTCCTTCCGGACTACGCCGGAAGGTAGGGCGGAAGACCCACTTCAGTCTCCTCTCAGGAATCGTGGGAAAGGGTGGGTGGTGGTTAGGGTGAGAAAGATGAGACTGATGAAATGAAGACAGAAGAAAATGAAAGATTATCTGTGGAATATTACTGCCCCAGCATTTGCCTAAGTGATCCAAGGAAACAGGAAACCACAGAAAAACTTGGACCAAGGCAGACGGATCCGGAATGGAACCAGCGTCCTCCCGAATGCTAAATAATGACCTAAAACTCTAGACCATGCCGCTCGGTACACTGTTCATTAAAAAAACTTTTGGGTGTTTCATTCCCACCAGCCACTAATGCTGGTGGGCGGGCACTCCTTCCGGACTACGCCGGAAGGTAGGGCGGAAGACCCACTTCAGTCTCCTCTCAGGAATCGTGGGAAAGGGTGGGTGGTGGTTAGGGTGAGAAAGATGAGACTGATGAAATGAAGACAGAAGAAAATGAAAGATTATCTGTGGAATATTACTGCCCCAGCATTTGCCTAAGTGATCCAAGGAAACAGGAAACCACAGAAAAACTTGGACCAAGGCAGACGGATCCGGAATGGAACCAGCGTCCTCCCGAATGCTAAATAATGACCTAAAACTCTAGACCATGCCGCTCGGTACACTGTTCATTAAAAAAACTTTTGGGTGTTTCATTCCCACCAGCCACTAATGCTGGTGGGCGGGCACTCCTTCCGGACTACGCCGGAAGGTAGGGCGGAAGACCCACTTCAGTCTCCTCTCAGGAATCGTGGGAAAGGGTGGGTGGTGGTTAGGGTGAGAAAGATGAGACTGATGAAATGAAGACAGAAGAAAATGAAAGATTATCTGTGGAATATTACTGCCCCAGCATTTGCCTAAGTGATCCAAGGAAACAGGAAACCACAGAAAAACTTGGACCAAGGCAGACGGATCCGGAATGGAACCAGCGTCCTCCCGAATGCTAAATAATNTAATCTTTTACTATTAATTACTTATTATATGATGAAAATTATAGAAGGTGAAGGTACCACTACCCTCCATAAATCATAATCACCATACCACAAACATCCATTCGATTGAATAAACATAAATAAAAATATGCCTACACAACAGTTTTATTTGTGCTAAATCGCATAAAGTAACAATTACTCAAGTGGCATCCCGAAAATGCTGTTTGACTTAAAAGAATAAGCTGCATAAAAATAAAAAATTTCGTTAAATACAGTCTCAAAGTCGAAAAAGCAAAAAGAAAGTAATTCATTGATATCAAAAGATCAAAGGATCGTTAATTATTTGAAATGGATTAAATGAAATAGTTTACTAAATATCCATCTTTGAATTTTTGCAGCGTTACTACAGATTAAATTAATGAGGAAAAATTGGTGCTGCTGATAAAGTAAACAAATGCCGTCACACTTCCATGATTCTGCTTGACATCCGGCCGGGCAATCAGGGTTATCAGATCTTTCCTCTCTGGCAGAACCGTTCGTGTTCGTTTTGGCTCTGCTTTATACTACCGTCACGGCCGGTGTCCCACAAGGCTCCAAGCTATCACCCCTTCTGTTCAACCTGTTCTGCGCAAACATGCCGTCCCATCCCTCGATTCTCACTGCTCTCTATGCCGATGACATCGCCCTTGTAAGCTCCGTTCAAAACCATTCACAGTGCTCTGCAAAAATTAAAAAGTTTCTACCCCTGTTCCTAAATTGGTACCGAAGATGGAAACTCAATATTGACGAAGTCAAGTCGGAAACAATTTTCTTCTCCTTTAAGACCCGAAAACCTCCCTCCATTACCGTTAACAACAATCCCATCAAATGCAACTTTCCCGTCACTTACCTTTGACAGAAATTCATATCCAAGTCCTGGATGCCTTCATCTCCCGTAAGTCCTCAATCTCTCATCAAATCAAAACTCATGCTTTTAACGCAAACATCAGAAGCATCTGCTCCTACGCCATTTCCATCTGGGGGTTCGTCCATCCCAATAGCCTTCAACTCCTTCAAGGCACTTACATGCGGATTCTTTGTTTCGCACCCGACCAGCCCTAGTTCGTCAGAAACGCCCAAATTCTGGATGAAACTGGTTTATCTTCACTTCCCAAGGCTAGAATCAGATTCGCAGCAAACCTTCTGACCTCAGTTTCAGGTAACCCAAACCCGTTCATCTCTACACTTTCGTACTTCATCTCTAAAGCAAACGGCCGTTTCAGAAGGCCCTGCCACCTTCTTCAACTCTGAGCTGCTTCTCTCCTGCTAATTTCCAGTTTAGCTTTTTAGCGTGAGTGCCCATCCAACTTGTCCGAAGTGGGTCACCGCTTTCTATTCCATTCACCTTACCCCCCAAATTATTCCTTTCCTATACCTAATAGCCTTCCCGTTCCCAACCTTTTCCACAGAACCTTCTTTGGGATGTAAAACCTCCGGGTTAACCTTCTGCTGAGGAGGGATTTTAGTCAGTAAGCGCTTCGGCGAATCCGACACAATCCCTTTCGGGGGGTGTCTTTTGAAGATTTCCCCTCGTCGGGGACAAACTGAAAAAAAATAAAAAAAAAAGTTGCCAGTTCACATCCAGCATCAGATATGGAAGAACCTCTGAAGAAGTTTGCCACTTGTGTTAGCGAAATGTTAGGAACCAACTCCAGCCAACTAAGGATGACTTTTAGACCTGAATCAGGACAGCATTAGTGTTTTTGTTTCTGTTTCTTTTTTTAGTACATATTTCGGTGTATTTCTATATAATTTTAGAAAGCATTTTAGTAACTGTCTTGAATGCTTTTGATTTCTTTTTTTTCTTTCCACCCTCCTCCCATATTTCCGCGCCGCTCTCTACCAATGTCTCTCTTATATTCCAACTCTCTTCAAGTCTTCTTTCTACTATTATCCATACCTTTCTCATTATTCCTATTGCTTTCTTCCTCAGTTTTTTATGTGTCTAGAATGTCCATCTATTCCATTATTTTTTGCAGTAAGAGTACTAGCTAGTTGAACTCTGCAACTTCTTTTATTTTTTCTACCCACTGGAATTATAACTTCTTCTATATTCCTCCTAAATTTTCCCCTTAAAATATTTGACTTATCTTCTCCCTATTATATATTTATTGAATTTTTGCATCATTTCTTTCAGCCCTTATTCGTTCTTCGCTAATATAATAATAGCATGAAATTAACCAGATTTTTCTTCTACCAATTATTATTCCCTCTTGTTGTATTGTGCTTAATTTGTTAATAATAAGTCTGTAAATGATACATTAAAAAGTGCAGTGCTTAGTGGGCATCCTTGTATTATTCCCTGTTTCATTGCTATTTCTTTTGGATTTATCCTCGTTAACTTCAATCTTAATGTAAGTTTCGTCGTACGTTTCTCTTATCCTTTCTCTTAATTTGTTGTCTATTTCTAATTATTCTAAGATTTTCATACTATGCCTCTCTTGAATTTATCAAACGACCATTTCGTGTCTGCGAAAAAGAAGAATATTTTACCTATTTCTTTCTTTATTTCTTCTTCACACGCTGTTTTGATTACGCATATTGCGTTAATAGTACCTTTGTTTTCTCCTAGTACCTTTTTGTCTTCTAAATCTTTTTCTAAGTATTTCAGAGTAGATTTTTATAACATGTGCTCATGAGTGTTATTCCTCTGTAATTTTTTGCCTTATTTTTGTCTCCTTTTTTGTAAATTGGCTTTATTATTCCTGTTTTCCATTCTTCCGGAAGTTCTTCATCTGTATTCCATATCTAATTTACTACTCTTTGTGTGTGCTTATTTATTTCTAGTTCTCCATACATTCATGCTCATTCTTAATTTTATCTTCTTCTGCTGTCATTTTCTTTTTTAGCTTTTTAACTGTTTCTTCTACTTCTTCTAATGCTATTTTATCATTGCTTCTCCAAATTGTTTAGCAAAGTGCTCAATCCATTCGTTCATCTTTATATTTTTACTTGTGCTTTCTTTTTTTTGTTCTTTGTCCATTAATTCCGAAAACTATTTTCCCGCTCTATCCTTTCTTGCTTTTATTCAATCTTTTTTAATATCTTGCTCTTTCTTTTATTTTGTTACTTTTTTGTATTTTTTCATGCATTTATAATATACTATTCTCATTTTTTTTATATATTCTTCTTCTTTTTTTCATTAGCTCCAGTTTTGTTACGTAAGATTCTTTGTCTCACCATTTCTTTATGTAGTTACTCTTGTCAATTTTTATTTTATTTCTACCTACTGATGCATTTACCTTATTTCATAATTCGTTCCAGTTGTTCGTTTAAAATTTCTTTTTCAGACCAACTTTCTCTTTATATTTTCCTCCTTTTTTATTTCCTTCCCTTGTCTGTATTTTTAGTTCAGCATAGTATTTGATAATCTGACTCGTTGTTATGTACCATCTGCATTCTTTATATATTCCTTCCTATTACCTGTATGTGAATTCTTCTTCTTTATCTCCTTTTACATTTCCATTCAGAATAAACATTATCCTAAACCCAATTCAGCAACGTTTCCCCGTGTTTACTAATTTATCTTTCGATAGTCTATTCTCTTGCGTGATCATTTCGTTTTCTTTCCCACCCTTATTTGCAGTTCTTGAGTTAAAATCTCCTCCCATTATTAGTTATGTATTCTTTCATCCTATCCTCCAGAATTTTTTCCACTATCTCGCGTCTTTCACATTTACATATCTCCTAATTGCGGTGGTCATTCCTCGTTTTAGCTTTCCTCTTTTCCCTTCTCTTCTTACCTCAACATGTAAAAAGTTGTAGTCCGTTGATTTATTTTCAATTTTTTATTTTTTTCATCTATCCAAGATTCTTATAAATTTATTACGTCATATTCGTATAGTTTTTCCCATTCATCCTCTATATTTCTGATACCCGCGACATTCCAAAAAACTATTTTTACCCCGCATTCTTTGTCATTGTATTCTTGTTATAGTTCTCTTACTTTCTCTTCTAATTTACTTCCTATTTATCTACCATTAACACCCATTTTTACTGCGACCATGAAAAATTTGTTTTTTGCCTGTAGAATTTGGTTTTTATTTTCCCAGTCTTCGAACTTTTTGATGAATGAATGTAATCTGTCTGTTATGTCTTACCACGTATTTTTTTAAGTGTGAAGCTTACTATAAATAATTCGCTTTATCTCTTCCTTTAAATATTCAGCGGTGGTTCCTTCTATTTCTCATCCTGTTATAGTTTTATTTTTTCATTTTTTTTTATCTTTTCTATTTTCTCTTCTAGTTTTCCTACTCTGTTTATGAATAAGTTTTTTCTATTTACAACTTTTTCTTTTTTGTTTGAATTCATCTTTAACTATTTTAATTTAATTTCTTAATTCTTGATAATTATCTAGATTAGAAAAGATTATAATCTTTTCGTAGTTCTTTCGAGATCGCCTCTTATTTTTCTTATCAGCTTTATAAATTTCTCATTTCCCGTTTCCGTTTTGGACACTTTTTTTGTATATTCGTTTGTATCTCAAAAGTTCGTATCGTTGCTGGTTTCTTGCTTGATTGGTGGTTTTCTGTTTGATTTGTGTCTTCCCTTTTTCTTTTATAGAAAACTTATGCAGCTTAGACTTGATCGCACGATGTTGCCACTAATACCATATTAATTTATTTTATCGATTTCTTTTAGCATATCCTCCACTTCTTGTTTAATAAGTTTTGTTTTCTCTTCACTTTTCGATTTTACTTCCACTTTAAGCTTTTCTCTGGTTTTATCTCGCTTTTTCATTCACTTTTCTAATAAATTCTCCTTCTAATTTTCACAAATATCCTGGTTAGTACATCATGAAACATTTTGTAATATAAGAGAAATAAAACGATTATACTTTTTATATTAAAGTTTCAGTCTACAATTGTTTCGGCCTTTTAAGTCATTATTTACCGCTAGTATTCTTGATAAAGAATTAAAAAGCAGAAACACTTGTAGAGTGAAACTATAATAGAGTAAAACATTAAAAAACATAATAGTTTTATTTATTTAATAATTCATTCTTTTTCCATTCAAATTTTTGTTTTTTTAAAGCTGCACTTTCGACACGTCATTCACTCTTTTGTATTTGCGCTTTTTGTGCCTCCGTTTTCGTAAATAAATAAATTATTAATTCCATTTTTCTCACCCTTTCTCTTATTGTATATGGGACCATGTACAGATTATTTTATAATTACATAAAATTTGCCTGTTCCAAAAAGTTATAGTGCCCAGAATACGACAAAAAGTAAAAAAAAACAAGTATGGACACTTGACTATATTGTATGAAAATAAATAAAATTAAATCAAAAGTACTGGTATAAAGGGGAACAGTAGATATACAAAACAGAGGATAATCCAAGGTCGAATAGCCTTTAACAAAAAGAAATCACTTCTCTGTTCACGAAAGGTTAATTTAGAAATATGAAAAATATTGTTAAATGTGTATATCTGGAGTACGGAGCTGTACGGGTGCGAAACGTGCGCGGCAGAAAAGAAAAGGTTATAGGCGAATGATGACATCGTGGATAGAAAAGGTTAACTAGAAATAAGGGAGTATTAGGCAAGAAGGGCTAGTTAAAGATATATTACAAGCAGAAATATGAGTTCAAGATAGAAAAGGGGATGTAGTGTCCAACTAGTCTTGGACTGACGACCTTATGATGATGATGATGAATTTAATCGTATATGTTTTATCATTTTGTTCACATTGAAAATCTATTTTACCAAAAGGTTTGAACTTAAGATTTCCATACGACACAAGTGCTGTAAGACTATAAGAATACCTATTAAATTTTTGTAATTGTAAAACAGGTATGATATTTGATTCTACTCCACTGTCCACTTGAAGGTGATTTTCTGCCCCTATTAGTGAAATTTGTTGTTACCAGCTATTAGTGTTTCCTTACTTAAAGTTACCACAGTTGACAAAAATGTTAGGGTTACTTTTTATTTTTTTCCCTTCTTTCCTTGTAATTATTTTTCTTCTATTTAATTCATTCTTTAGGTTATGGTAGCTTTCTGGACTTTTATCTCTTCTTTTCTGATTATTATTTATATTTACTATTTACTTTAAAAATTAATATCTCGAAAACGGTAAATAGAAGTAGAGAAACCATTTAAGTCTAACTAAAATCATAAGAGTTCCATTTAAAGTACTAACGATGTTGATGTCATCTTCCGGTATAACCGGAAGTGCTATATAGATATTTCGGTTTTTTAGAACATTTGAATAACAATTAATTCTGCTCATGGATTTGGATTTAACTAATTTAATTAGTGTTTGTTTTTTAGCTTTCCCCTACTTTGATTTATTCTGTTTTATAGTAAGACCACTATGTATAATTTTTTCATGTTGACTGGGTGGTTAGGGTGAGAAAGATGAGACTGATGAAATGAAGACAGAAGAGAATGAAAGATTATCTGTGGAATACTACTACCCCAGCATTTGCCTAAGTGATCCAAGGAAACTATAGAAAAACTTAGACCAAGGCAGACGGACCCAGATTTCATTCCTTCCTTCACACACACTGTTCATTTCTGAATGGTTTTATTTATATATATATATATGGGTATTGCCACCATATATCAACGGCGGCAATGGTCAGATCGGTAGGTACCCCAGGGTGCAAATTTAGCAATTCTCTAATCGATAGGTCTCCATTAGGTCAGTTAAGGTCCAATAATTCTTTCGTTAGATCCTCTATTGTTCTTTTTAACAATTTTTTTTAATTTTAATGAAAATGCTCGCATTTTAGCACCTCGTTTAAGATCAAATAGCAATTTTTTATCATGTTTTCAATCTTTATCTTTAAGTCAATTCGTCCATCAGTTTTATCATATTATTCGATTTTTAATATATTTTTTTATAATAATAAATTAATTAAGATCTGCGCATGGACACAATGCGTCTATTCTATACTAAGCGCGAAATTCAAATTCCTGTGAGGATTGTTTTAATCTGAATTGATTGTTTAATTACTTACTTGAATAGCAACTTTCATACAAGTATAATTATTAACATAATCTTTTACTANTGACAGAAAGGGTTTATAAATAGATAATTAACCTTTTATTTGTTATTAGTGTTTTATAAACGGTTACATCTGTTTTGAAAAGTTCGTAATAAAAATGCAATTAAAATGGGGAATAATTAGTACGGGAAACTGTAGCAGCGAATTTACAAATTGCTTAAACTCTTTATCAAACGAAGAGCATACAATTGTAGCTGTAGCTGCTCAAGATTTCTCCAGAGCTCGAGCCTTCGCCAAAAAGTATAAAATTCCTATTTGTTACGGTACTTACGAAAAATTGGCTAAAGATAGGAACGTAGGTAAATTATTTGAAACATGAAAATAAATTACATTGTGATAGCAATGATAAAGTGATTTTGAATTGTAGAAATTGTTCATATTGGAAATTTAAATATACAACATTTCGAAGTTTCGCGATTGATGCTAGAAAACGGTAAGCACGTTCTCTGTGAAAAACCGATGACAATGAATGAAAAGCAAACGAGAAAACTTATCGAAATTGCCAGGGAAAGAAATCTTTTCTTAATGGAAGGAATTTGGTCTCGATGTTTTCCTTTGTACAAGGAACTACGAACACTTTTAGATCAACAAATACTCGGAGAAATACTTTATGTATCAGCAACTTTTGGCAAACCATTACAACACATTGACAGAATAAGGTATGAAACAAATAATCAGCGGGCCTAATAATAAAAAAATATGAAATTCTAGAGAGAAACGGTTGGGTGGAGGAACTATTTTAGATTTGGGAGTTTATCTCATACAATTTGTACAATTCGTGTTTAGAGGATTGGATGCTCTAGAAGTAAACGCTGTAGGACACTCAAATGAATATGGTGTTGATGAATCCTGCTCTGCTGTTATCACATTTCCAGGAGGTAAAATTGCTAATATTAGCTCTCATTCTGCTCTGCTGTTGCCTAATGAAGCTGAAATAGTAGGCAAAAAAGGAAGAATAGTGGTATGACAAAATTTCTTTTTCAGTTACCCAAAGGGAATAGTATGTTATATAAGCTATATTGTTTAAGGTTCCCCAGTTTTGGTGTCCTTTAAAGCTAATAACGCCAATGGGTACTAAACATTTTGACTTGCCTGAAGTAGATCCTTCAATTCAGTTTATGAGCAAATTCTCAAAGGGATATATTTATGAAATACAAGAAGTTTGGAAATGTTTAAAAGCAGGTAATTAAAACAATATAAAAACAAAATATGAAGATTGGAAAAACTTTGGCGGTTGTTGGAGAACAAACAAAATAGCTCAAAACCCCAAAGCCAAAACACGGCACTGTAGTTGTCCGAAGCACTTTTCGGTAACAAGGTCAACTTCTTCAGGGACTGAAGTGACCTAAACCGAAAAGGGAACTAATCCTAATTTATACTAATAGTTGTTAAGGTTCAGCGAACATGGCTCAATGACAACAAGGTTGGTGTTCAATAGACCTTAACAATCACAAAAGTAATTAAACTAGGCTAAATAGCGGAGATCCAGGGGTAGGACCGTTATCATTGTTAAGCAAAACTTGTTATAAATGTATAAACTCTCAAAACTATCCAGTAAACAATTTGAGTTCCAGAAGTCTTCAAGACTTTCTTGATGTTTTTAATTCAAGTTTCTCTTTGAATAAATTTACTGTTGAAATTGAAAAAGATGGCAAGTTACCATTTTTAGATACGTTGGTTATAAGAAACGGTAATTCTTTAGAATTGGACATCTACAGAAAACCCACTAATACCTCTACATATATACCCTACGACTCTAATCATTGTGTTCAACATAAAACGGCTAGTTTTAATTTCCTTGCACATAGATTGCTTAGCTTCCCTCCTAGTAAAAGTAGATATCATAAGGAACTCTGTACAATTAAGAAAATTACAAGTCAATGGTTACAATTATAACATTATTGATAAATTAATTAATTAGGAATTTTGTTTCAAGATCTACGACTTTTCAAACAGACACTAATAAGACCAAGTTTGTTACTATGCGAGCCAAGATTTACTCGAGGACTCGAGGGTATTTTTCGAAAACTTTGTTTACGGATTGCTTACAGTTCAAATGGCAACTCCATTCAAACTCTCCTTGGTAATCCTAAGGATAAAACTCCTTTCTTAAAAAAGTCGGGGATATATGAAATTAGCTGTAATGACTGTAGTAAAAAATATATTGGACAAACTAGACGCTCAATCAAAACTAGATTTAAGGAGAATTTAGCTCATGCACGGTTTGGTAGAGAGGAAAATCTAGTGTTGCCCAGTATATTCTTACTGAAGAACATAATATCAATATTAATAATCTTAAGTTAGTTAGGGAGGTTAGAAATAATTGTTTACTAGATAGTTTTGAGAGTTTATACATTTATAAAAATAAACAAGTTTTGCTTATCAATGACAACGGTCCTATCCCTGGATCTCCGCTATTAAGGCTAGTTTAATTACTTTTGTGGTTGTTATGGTCCATTGAACACCAACCTTGTTGTCATTGAGCCATGTTCAATGGACCTTAACAACTATTAGTACAAATTAGGATTAGTTCTCTTTTAGGTTTAGTTCACTTCAGTGCCTGAAGAAGGTAACCTTGTTTGCGAAAAGTGCTTCGGACAACTACAGTGTCGTGTTTTGACGTTGGGGTTTTGAACTATTTTGTTTGTTCTATAATATAAAAACAGTAGAATGAAATTTTAAATAAAAGTATATAGGTATGCTGTAAATAATTATTTCAGGAATGATTGAATGTCCAAAAATGACCCATGTAGAAAGTATAAAATTGGTACAGCTAATGGATAAAATGAGAAAAGACGTAGGAATAGTATATCCAGACGACCTAGTCAAAATTACCAAATAAAAAATAGATAGGTCTGCTTCTGAAGTAATAGAGTTATAATGCAAAATGTTTATTATCTCATTTACTTGTAATAGAATAAAATTAATTAATTAAGGAATATAAACAAATAATAGTCAAAGAGATGCATAGTGGCGAAAAATAAAATCCTTAAAATACTTTGTATATTCGATGATTTCTTGTTACTAGTTGTAGTTATCTTCGTAACATTCTCTAAGGTCAAAGAGCTTTTGCAAGCACTCTTTGTAAGCATCCGTTTCGAGACCGCTTTCCCTGAATCGATGGAAACGAGGAAACCTAATTTTGCTTACTTCCGTATGAAGACTTTCTAACATGTTCCCAATTTCTGAACCAGAATGTAAACCTGCCAGTACAGGAACTGACTGAACAACTGCAAATAATAAAAAAAACCTGTAAAAGTAATAAGATCAAAGCGAGTAATGTGAGACTCATTGGCGTAGCGTGACTTTCTGTCACCCGGGGCGAAGTCTAAACTTGCAGCTCCCTTCTATTTTCACAATTATGTAAAATCTTATTTAAATTGGTCAAGAATAAAGCGAAAATACGTACAAAAAACTTATGCATACTTTAATTTAGCGTTTGAGGAGATAAAAACCGTTTATTATTAGAGTAAATTGAAAACGCATGAGTTTCTTCAGATCACATTGACATTATTACTCATACTTCATCTCCAAATTATCTAGCAATGCTAGTGTAACCTTCAAATTCTAGTGAAGAAAATATGCACATATTTTACTTTGTCAACAATCGACGTCTCGACGTTCAAATGTTTCTTTGGCTCGTTGACGGATTGGTTTAATTTACTGTGTTGTTGAAATTAACTAATAAAAAAATTATTTTGTATTGTATTCAATAGCTGTTGATCACTCCAGTAATAATACTAATAAAAAATTATTATATCTTTTTGTTGATGTATTTTAAAAAAATATAATAAGGTTATCACTTGCTGTATTTTATTTATTGTTAATATTTTCCAATAATCTATAAAAAATAGGTATGTAAAAAGAATATTTGAATTAAAAAGTATTAGACGGTTTTCTCCGATAGTTTTCCGCAAGATTGTGAGACTTTTGGATCAACTTTTCTGGCAACCCTACTCGAAGAGTCGTTCAGAAATGCAGTTCATAAAACTAGCCGTGGAGTATCCAAGTAATGTACAAATGTACGTGACTGTGTTGTACTGAAAATAACTGCTGTAAGAATTGAAACAGAATCGTGTGGGACATTAGAGCTGCAGAGTTATCGATAATCTTGATACAAAAACTTGTAAAGTGTACAGGGAAACACACAAAAGATTCATTACAATGTATTAATCGTACATTTAGCAATGCTAAATGTGGTACCAAATATAATGTAGACCATGTAGCAAATGACTATGAAAGATGTTTGAACATAGAATAAAAAGTGGAGTTTAATTTTGGTTTTCTTGAAATTAAAAAAGCATCTGATATGCCATCGACTTTAGAAAAGTAAATCAGTTAATGAGTAAATATACTTGGAACCATATTAACAAGTTGCAGAACCCAAAAATAATCACGCAATGCCTGATTAACGAATTAAAAACCTTGTTCAAAAGGCTAAAGCGGCTAAATACTAATAGAAATTCGTGTAATCCTAGAAAAAGTTAGATTACCATAGGTATTGTGGGAACACTCGGTATATCAATATAACAAGTGTAACAGTTAAAAAACTATAAGTGATTCAATTGTGTCAGCATGGTAAAATCGCGACACAGTGCGACCAACTAGGTCAAAGACATTTACATACATATTTCGTATTTCAACAAATCAGTCCAACACACGACTCACTTTTCTTTGGATGCTACAATAGTGTCAATTTAACAATTTTCGCTAGTCATCAAACGACTACAGTGGTAACCCCGACTAAAAACTAATGAACAGCAAACTACCACAGTGGTGACCCCAACTAAGGAACAATCGACGACTACACTAATGAACTACATTGCGGAATTACATCCGAATCCACGAAGCTTGGGTATGTGCTAGGCAACCTGGACCCTTGTTATGCGGAGAAAGCGCCCGATATCAATGTCAACCCCCGGCGATTGAACCACATGCCACCATCAGGGCAGCAGCACTCATTCGTCGGCTGGGCATCTCCTAAGAAACATGAATGAAACAATTTCTCGAGCTAGGAAATTTTGGGGATAGGAAATCCACGCAATTTCACTATGTTGGACAATTTACTGAGAACCATTTGGTCAAGTCGTCTCCCACTTATTATTCAAGCCATCATCGCAACTATGCGCGATAAGGATCTGGATGAAACAGCAGAGGCAGCTGATTTCATCATGGAAGCAATCCAAACGCAAAACATAGCCGCAGCTAATACTACGACCAGTTCCACTTCGGAGCTTATTCAAATTTTAACTAAGATGGTACATGCCTTTCAGTAGGATCTGAACAACATGAGACAACACAAAATTAAAGAACCAACCCCGTTCAAATTCATGCAGTTTTCTACCCCGACGACGTTTCAACCACAATATTAGGGTAAATGGTCAAGGGCAAGGCACACCAACACATCCCAAGCGATCTATGGTACTATTATTCTGTCTCTCAATTTGGGCCTACGAAGATGTTTTCCATGTCGTTTCATTATAGCTGACGTCACGAAACCAATCATCGGTGCTGATTTCCTTGCACACTATCAATTGCTGGTAGATTTAAGCACTAAACGACTCCTGGATCGACTCACCCATCTAAGCACCTCTGGTCAACTAACCAACTGCAGCCAACCCTCCGTCGCTTTCGTCACAGATACGAAACCAACTACTTCCGTATACCACGATGTACTTCAGCATATCCCCTCATTAATTCGACCCAACGGTCAGATCACCTTTTCTAAACATTCAACAAGGCACTACATCAATACTATCCTCGGTAGTATGTAAACCTCAACGTTTAGCTCCGGACCGTTTCTTTGCAGACAAGGGAGAATTTGAAACGTTGGTATAGCTAGGTATCGCACGTCCCGCCTCCAGTCCCTGGGCATCGCCACAACAGATGGTCTCAAAGAAAGATGATGAATGACGTCCATGTGGAGATTACCGGGCTTTCAACACGAGAATAATCCCGGACAGATATCCTGTACGCAATATTGATGATTTCATATATGCATTGGCAAACAAGACAATTTTCTCTACGATCGATCTAATTCGAGTCTATAATCAGATTCCTGCTGCAGAAGAAGATATTCCGAAAACAGCAATTACAACACCGTTTGGTTTGTTCGAATTTCCGTATATGAATTTTGGATTACGCAACGCCAGTCAAACAATCCAACGCTTTATTGACGAAATATTACACGGCCTTAACTTCTGTTTCGCTTACATCGACGATATACTGGTCGCATCAGAAAATGCTGAACAACACAAAGCAGAGCATTTACACACTTTATTTACTCGCCCGCATTCCTACAGCATATTACTTAATCAAGTAAAATGAAATTTTGGTAATGAAGTCTCTTTTCTAGGTTACTCTGTCTCGGCAAATGGAATACGCCCTTTATTCGACAGAGTGACAACAATCGTCAACTTCCCCAAACCAAGTACTGCAAAACAATTACGACGATTTGTGGGTAGGCTTAACTTCTACAGCACTCATTCTGCTTTGAATGAACTTCTACTGGCGAAAATTAAAGGAAATACCCCACTTCAGTGGAATCCCAAAGCCGGTGAGGCATTCAATTTAATCAAGAAGCAACTGGCACAGACTACTCTACTGCATCATCCGCAACCAGATGCTACGTTAGCAATTTTTTGTGACGCTTCCGACCATCGCTTGGGCGCTACGTCACAATTCTACAATGGAAGTTGGAAGCCCCTAGCATTTTTTACCTCCAAACTCCCTAACGCTGAAGCTAAATACAGCGCATTCAACCGGGAACTTCTCGCAATTTATCGCACAATCAAGCAAGTCCATGACTTCATTATTTTTACAGATCACAGGCCCCTTACCTTTTCTTTCCGTCGGAACCCTGACAAATGCTCCAGCGGACAGTCACGGCATCTCAATTTCATTAGGCAGTTCTCAACGTACATTCAGCATATTTCTGGGAAAGATAATATTATTGCCGACACACTCACGAATTTCTGAGATACCAACACATGTTGATTACCAAGCCCCTTCTTCTGAGTAAGAATCCGACAGGGAACTTTAGAAATACCTTAACTTAAACCAATCCCTACAACTCGAAGATAAACAACATCCTCAACCTACCCAAGCACACACAACAACCAGCTCCGGTCGTCGAGTACGTTTTCCAAGTTACATTCAAACAGATTAGTCAACATCGTTCATCACTGAAAGGGTCTTGTGGGAACACTCGGTAAATCAATATAACAAGTGTAACAATTAAAAACCTATAACTGATTCATTTGTGCTAGCATAGTAAAATCGAGACACAGTGCGACCAATTAGGTCAAAAACATTTACATATACAAATGTAATTTGCTGATTCACCTATTCCCATAAGAATCACGCAAGTAGATTTTGTATAAGTAGAATGTAAACATATCAATAAATCAGTCCAAGGCTCACTCTTTATTGAATGCTGCGATAGTGTCAATTCAACAGAGATGCAGAAATGTGTCCAACGATCTTATAAAACAATTTTCGCTAGTCATTAAACGACTACAGTATAATGATATTTTTTAGAACTGAAGAAATGTTATATGATGGGAAACAGATCCTACAAATGATACTCCTAAAAAGGTTAAAAATATTTACCATGCAGAATTTGTGGGTGTCAACAGTAGAGATCCTAAAAAGTTGTGGAATCCCATAAATAAAATTATAAAAAAAAGAAAAATGGTATTAAAATAGAAGATCCCATTGATGTAACAAATGCCATGAATATTTTTTTTTTTGCAAAATTGGAGAAAAGTTTAAAAAAATGGTAGAAACATAACTATAACACCCTCCATCTACTAATCTTAACTAGTATTTTTTTGTATTCCACTGACATCACTAAAGTAAAAAATTATATGTGTCTTACAAGATAAAGCGGGTGACGTTGACGAGATAAGCGTCAATATCTTGAAGGCGGTTGCAGATCATGCTGGAAATATTTTAGCGTAAATATTCAACCTCATTTTAGAACGGGCAATTTTTTTTAATATGAACTTACTTCCATAAAAAAAATGTGTGGTTTTATGAAAGTGAAACTTTTCGGATTTAGGCATTTAACTGTAAATTTTCAGAAAATTATTAAAGTTATAGGGTTGTTCGGAAAGTCATTTCGTTTTTTCCCGACAGAGGATGTAATTGTATTCTTTTGCACCCAACTTCACATTTAAGCCGTATAATTTTATATGCTTTGAGAGCTCATATAGCAAGGTTTGCGTGTGAAAAATTCCAATTAATTCTACGCAGTAGTTTTTGGTTGGTGCCCTTTTAAATATGGAGAGCGATAAGCAGCATTTTCGACATATCTTACTGTTTTACTACAGAAAGGGTAAAAATGCTGTTCAAGCCAGAAAGAAATTGACTGATGTGTATGGAGAAGGTGTGTTGACAGTACGCCAGTGCCAGAACTGGTTCGCTAAATTTCGATCCGGCAATTTTGATTTCGAAGATGCACCACGTTCGGGAAGGCCGGATGAAGCTGATAAAGACGCGATAAAGGCATTAGTTGATGTGAACCGGCAAATAACAACACGTGAGATCGGATTGAGGTTAAATTTATCAAATTCAACAGTTTATGACTACTTGAAAGGCCTGGGATTATCCTCGAAGCTCGATATATGGGTTCCCCATGTTCTCACAGAGAGAAATCTGTGTCGCCGCATTGATGTCTGCGGTTCGCTTCTCAAACGTCACGAAAATGATCCGTTTTTGAAGCGCATCATCACTGGGGACGAAAAATGGGTTGTATACAACAACGTCAAACGCAAGAGGTCATGGAGCAAAAAAGATGAACCGGCTCAAACCATTTCCAAAGCCGATATTCACCAAAAAAAGGTGATGCTGTCTGTTTGGTGGGATTTTAAAGGAATCGTTTTTTTTGAGCTTTTACCGGATAACACAACGATTAATTCGGAAGTCTACTGTCATCAGCTGGACAAACTGAATGATGCACTTCAACAGAAAAGGTCAGAACTAATCAACAGGAAAGGTGTAGTGTTTCACCAAGACAACGCGAGACCTCACACAAGTTTGGTCACTCGCCAAAAGCTTTTACAGCTTGAATGGGATACAATGCTACACCCACCATATTCTCCAGACCTGGCACCATCGGATTATTATTTGTTCCGGTCACTCCAAAATTTTTTAGACGGTAAAACCTTCACCTCAAATGAGGAGGTCAAAAACCTCCTCGATCAGTTTTTTGCCAGCAAAGACCAAAAATTTTATGAGCGTGGAATTATGCTACTACCAGAAAGATGGCAAAAGGTGTTGGACCAGAACGGTCAATATATAATTTAATAAAGTATTTGTTTATTATACGAAAACTGTCTTTCATTTCCACAAAAAAAAACGAAATGACTTTCCGAACAACCCTATAAAATCGCGTTCTTAATCTTATTTTAATGATTGGAAAATGGAAATGACTATGGGAAATCCATAGTAGACAAGATATCCAACTCTCGATTAAAACACACAAATACCGCGGAGTACTTGCACGAATGAGTGAGAATAAAAATGCTACAATGCTACATGGTTAACTCATGCGAGCCGTGGGCGCCGCCATATTTGCGTTGGCTGCTCCTGCCGAGCGCTTTTCACTTTTACCCCTATTCCGCAGCCGGCTGTAATGCGATAGATGGTCGAAAAATTTTGAGGTGATGTAATAAAAGTTTCACATTAAAAATTGTAGGTGAGGAGAAATAGTGTATATAACTTTTAGTTTCAATAAAGCATATATAAATTAATAACATTCATCATTCACAAAAGTGTATAGAAATTTTGAATGAGCTCAAGAATTATCGAACCTGGCTGAGCAATGAGAATTTCTTAATGACTATATTTAGTAAATGTCGACTTACATCCAAAAAAGCGGGCGGGTTACGGCAAGTTATATTTGAAAAGCTTACCCGAATCTTCTGGCCTCATATCTGCGATTATATTTCCATCAATTCCAACATGAGCATTAAAAATATCTGGATAAGGAGTCTTCACTGTCAAAGCTTTATCTACAACTGTGACGTTATTTGCTGAAGCATATGTAGTACATGCCATATAATAAGTTAACATTTCTTGTACTGTATTGCACTTGAATGCAGGAAGGTTTTGCTGATTTTGGGAATGCTTCAGTCTATTTTCTGCAATGCCTCTTAGAAACCAATATTGCATCATTCTATTTGAGCCTACACAAAAAAAAGGTTTTGCAAAAGCAAGCCATATTTATGAATGTAATGTGACCGACGGGAACCTGACGTTTGTCGCGCGGGTAGTAGTTATTGTCAGCCTATAGAAGTAGAAAAGAAAACCACCGGTCATTGACCTGGGCATTGGATGCCACTCAACAAAGATGAACATAATCGATTGATTCCGGCAATCGAAAAATCGTCACTCTACTGAAATATTATAAATCGAACAATCACTCCACTTGGTACACTCGATCAATCGCTTGAAATTTATGTTTAGGCATCATAGACATTTATTTATGTTTCCTTAATGTCTATTAATTTTTATAATTAATATTGTGATCATTAAATTCATGATTAGTATGATTGTAGCAATAAAACAAATGAAACCAATTTTTATACATATACTGTATATTCTAAACGTTCACGTATATTCTTTCCAATATGTAGCAGCAGGATGAGGATAAGAGTGGATGAGTCAATATAGGGAGAGGGGCTAGAGAAAATGTGTGTACTTTACAATTCGAAACCACTCCTCCCTCGGCCTCAGCTTAAACAGCAACGGTAATGATTTCGCAACCACTCAAAATTTCCAGAAATTGCAATCGATTATTTTTCATTCAAATAAATCGACTTCTATAATATTTCAAATGCTTATTCAGAAGTGCACACAGTATGTTCGCTCAGAATGGGGGGGGGGGAGTGCGGTTGTTCAGAAATTCGAGAAAAGGAATTATAAGGAACCAAACAACAATGGCCATTAGTGCCACCCCACACACTGCTCGTGTGTCTATGTAAGATGTTAGTGATTCAAAGTATGTTATCAGGAAGGCAGAACCGAAACAGGCAATCAGAGAAGTGGATTCAATCGATGGTAAGGTGGTAATCCGGGTAATGAACGATTTTCGGCGAAAAGTTAGAAAACTGCATTCAAGATGGACACAACCTTCCCGACGTTATCTTTCACATATGACGTTAGTTTTAGAGGGCATGTTATAGCAGTTTAGTGTTAAATTTCAAATTTTAGTAAAAAAATAACTGAGTACTGTTCCCGTCAGTCACCTAAGTAAGTTACCAATTTTGCAATTAGGTGTGATGCTTTTAGACAAAGGGCCATCCCAATTGTCCAAACACTCTAGTAATGTGGCATCCTTATTAAAAGAAAACGGCAAACATAAGCTGGATGCCACAGCACGACGACCAAAGGATGATAAATCTGCACAAAGATCATTTAAAGAGAAATTGTAAGATCTTAGACGATGTTTTAGAGTAAAAGTGTCTATTGCTGATGCTAAAATTGCACTTGAATGGTACCAAAGTCTAGACTGTAAATAAACGAATTAATAAAACTAATACTAATATATTATTGGGGCCTTACATCATAATGCAAATTATTGAAAGGTATGCTTTCTCCAGGCTGTCTCCATCCTGTCAATCCAGTGCATAGAGGAACAAAAATTGAAGCATTTTCTGCAAGATCATTAAAGCATAAAGCTATATTTAGAACTCGAACAGAGTCCTTAGTTATTGACTTGTAATTTTGATCTGTGCTTGTGATATTGTAATCTTTATAATAGGAAGGTATAAGTGGAATTGCCATTACGGATTTCTTTTCATATTCATCACGAACATGCTCTATACAAGAAGTAGATAAACCAGAAAATGCATCAACTGCATCTAATATGACATGAAAACCCTGAAATGTTAATTAACATGATTTATTTATATACATAATTATATGTAAACATATTTACTTGAAAATTATCACATTCTTCAATATAATTTCTAATTTTATCAGAAAATTCTTCAGAAAATTCTGAATTATTCCATAAATTAACACCTAAAGGATATACATCAAATTCCTTATTGACATCCTCATGTTTATACTCATTTATGATATTCACAGTTCTTGGATGATATCTTGTATACAAAAAGTCAGACCAAACATTAACAGTTTGCTCCAAATTTTGTTTTTTATTTAACACTTTATTGCCATTCCCTTTTTCTATTTCTTGAATAAATTTAGATCCTGACTGTTCAAAATCTTTTTTAATTTCTATACGGCTCTTATCCCAATGAATATCAACCTTTTCTGGAGCCGGCCTTTCACTGTAGAGAGATCCATCTTTAGATAAATATTTTAAACTTCCTTTTAAGTCCACAAGTAATGCACGAGGTGTAAAAGTAGTGTGTCCCTTAAAATTAATTAAGTAGCAATTGAATTGATTTTTTTTTGTGTTAAAACGTTTTACTATACATCATTGGTTAAACCTTCTCGATACAACACATCATGATTAATTTTAGAAGGTTGATTTGAACTGTAGTCAAAACTTAGATCATTTAAATTCCACAAATGTGCTCCTACAAAATTGGAATAATGCCCGAATTGCAGAGTAACTACTTCTTTTCCAGACATTATAACATATTGGAATATTTCTTCTAAAAATGTTATTACTAAATACAAAAACAATGCAAATCAAAAAGCGGTATTTTCAGAGGTTAACATGGTTAAAGCCATAGATAATAGTTAAAACAGTGAAATATAGACAAGCAGTGAACTCTATACATTTATACTACTCCATACTAACTGGAATAGACGCGCAAACGCCAAACGGGCAAATCACAGCAAATTTGTGCAAGTAGTAATAACATATAACAGAGATAGAACAATAGATATCAAAACGTCATCATCATCGTCAGTCCTAAGACTGGTTGGACATTCATTCCCTAAAACTAGAACATCCCACATCCTTAATTATTTGCGAACAGTAATCTAATTTAATTCTACCTCTACTCCTCTTAACTCCTGTTTCTGCCTCTAATATGTCTCTGGCTACACCGTCATGCCTGAGGTGTTCTACCAACCTATCCCGCCTATTTCTTATTAACTCCTATAGAGTCCTCTTTTCTCCTATTCATAACAATACCTATTCATTTCTAACCTTCTCTATCCACGGTATCCTCATCATTTGCCGGTAACACCACATTTCAACCTTTTCTTTTCCGCCACGCCTACTGTCCATGTATCGCACCAGTACAGCGCCGCGCTCCAAACATACAGGGAGCATAGAAGTAACTTCTTTTTATCGAAGACGACTCGAGCCTGCGCTATCCTCTGCTTTATATTTATATCCTAGTACTCCTTCCGTTCTGACTTATCTCACTTCCTAGATACCTAAAATCGGCCACTTCTTCTAATTTTTCGTCTCCTATCTTTATATTCGCTCTTTCACTACGTTTTCTTCCCTTCCATATCAGTATTTTAATTTTAATTTTATTTATTTTCATACAATACTGCTTTGTCAATACCGCTTCCGTTTTAATTAAAGTTATCTCTAACTCCTCTTTGCTAGCAGCTAATACTCCTATATAATCTGCAAATCTAAGCATACTAATATTTTGCCCCTGTATATCTTCCCCTACAGTTGTACTAGGTTGTGACTAGGTTTAATGATGTTGATCACGTCGTCAAAGTATAGATTAAAAAGTAACGGTGGCATTGTGCATACTACTACTCCCTTCCTAAAATTTACTTTTCTACGTTGCAGTCCTAGCAGGCTGTTGCTCTTTATACAAACTAAGTATCACTCTTTTATCTCTGTAACTCATCCCAACATTTTTAATTATATTTAACGTCTTGTCCCATTTAACACTGTCAAAAGCTTTTTGTAAATCTACAAATCCTATGTACTCACCCTTTCCCTTTTCTATTGTTTTCTCTATTGTTTCCGGTAGCTAGAATGGCCTGTCGCATTCCTCTGTTTTTTCTAAACCCTAATTAATCTTCCCTTAATAGTTTTTCCGCCCTTTCTTCCATCTTTCTTTGTACAATTCTAGTTAAGGTTTTTGACGTATGAGAAGTTAAGCTAATTGTTCTAAATGTCTCGCACCTATCCGCGCTTTTATCTTTAGGTATCGTTACTACCACGTTCCGTTTATAATCCTCCGGGACTTTCCCCGTTTCATAAATGTGACTAAATTAAATAAAATTTCCGCTTGTATTCCATTTTATATTTTATTGTATTATTATATTTTTTAAGTTTTTTAGTGCTACATCGAACTCTTCTCTCGTTATGGGATAACCTAGTTCATCTATCTCCATATCACACTATCTTCGTTTTCTAATATATCCTCTAACTCATGGCCCAGTGTTAAAGGCATGTTAAAGGCCGTAGATAATAGATATACAAAGGGTAGGTAAAGTAGAGTAAAGGTAAACTACAGTAAAGGTAAAGGGGTCTAAGACAGAAACCATAGATATACTTACTCACTATAGAACCATAGAGCGGGACTTTGCAACATGAATTGCCTTTGATTAAATCATGGGTTAATTGTCAGCTCATGTCAGCTCATTGTTCAGTAATTTTCATTTACCTTTCGTATATCTATTATCTATGGTAATTTTCTTGTGGTAAAGACGATCAGATGCATAGATAACAGATCAGATGCTAGAATTGAATTAGTACATATTAATTAAACAAAAACGAACGAAAAGTTAATGTAATATGAAAATTAGTACCGTAACTCTGATGAAAATTGCTTCGATCGGAGGGGTGGCTACTGTATCTATGGGGCTCCTTACCAGATGGAAAATTAGCAACAATTTAGCTAATACAGAAACCATAAAGGAAGTACTTAATGTAGTAAGAAAAAACCCAGCTGCTGTGGAACTTTTAGGGGAGCCTATCAGGACAGGAAATATAAACATTGATGATGGCAATAATTATGTAACACAAACTGATGCTCATTTTCAGGTGCCAGTAAAGGGATCAAAACAAAAAGGTGTAGTCAATTTTTGGGCAAATAAAATTGATGATAAGTGGATTGTTCCAAAAATTGTACTAGAACTACAAAATGATAAAAGCAATACATTGATTATTAAGTCTGATATAAACCAAATTTATTAAGTTACTTAAAATAATGTTTATGTATATTAAAATAACTTTCCTATCAAAAGATGCACATTTAAAATGAATAAATATTTAATTTTATTTAAGTATATATATTAAAATGCAAATATTACATTTTTTAGTCACATAGAGGAAGCAATACATTATTTGCAGATATATACAATTTTTTACAAATTAATTGACAAAATACTTTAAAAACAAATTCTTATAGGTACAATCACACTAATAAACTACCAAAAATTTGTTGGCAATAAACCTTTTGGTTTTTCAAGTTGTCCTGTCCTCTGATAATCATGCAATAGAACCTCAAGCCTGGTAAAAGGCCCTCCAGAGTCATATTTTTTTAGCATTGGCATGTAAACTTTGGAAAGGAAATTCATTAATTTATAAAATTGCTTTCCATACACTTGTTGCAATGTAGATCCAGCTACTTCGAGAAAGATGTGGATCATGGTAGCAGTTATGTCAATTTGTGGTTCCAAATTTAAAAAAGCAGAAAACCATCTCCAACCATAAGCTATATTGTGAGGACTAATTTTCTGATCACTTTTTGGTTTTGAAATGACAATTGCAGCATATAATCTCATAATGCCCATCATTCTTTTTAAAAATTTGTCCTGTTTTTCTACAACTCCATCAATATAATTGTAGCCAAGACTTTTATAGTAGTCTTCGTCAGTTTGGTCTGCAAGTCGTGGAGGATAAAATGGAATTAAATAAATACATTCTTTGTGAAGATGTAACAAAAATAACTTTCCAAATTCTGGAAATTGGTTCCATAATGAAAGTATTATTGTTGCATAGCAAAAAGCTGCTTCTGGATTACTAGATATCATTAGATCCCCTTGCAGAACAAATTTCTTAGCCAAGAGATCCATACAAAAGGCAATCCCTTCTGGATGCTTAGAAGCAATTACTTCTGTTCCTCCAACAACAACTTTGTTTCCCAAGAGTAAGTTGCATAATCTGTTATATTTGTCCAATAAATGTTGCGCATTTATTGCTGATATAGCATTCACGGGAATATTTACTGCTTTTTTACAGTCAAATCTAAATTGCTTTAAAGAGTTATTTTCCAAGAGATTTCTAAATGAAGAGGGGTAATTTTTAATAAAACTTTCAAGTTCATTATAATACCTTAACGAAGTTTTACTAATGAATTTTTGGGCAATAAAATCTCTTTCAATATTCTTCTTATGTGTATCACTGTCTAGAGAGATAGTATTAGGCGTGGGTTTTTTATCAGTCACTGCAGTTTTTTCTTCAGTCTGTTTTTTCAGTTCTATTTTTTTTTTGTTCTCAATTACTTCAGTTCTTCTTGAAATAATATTCTTCAGGTTTTTAATTTGTGAAATACATTCTCCTGATTTTACAGCATCATTTTCGCTGATAATTCCATTCTGACAACGCACAACTATTTCATTCATTAAGTTTGGTAAAGTTTGTAAACATTGTCGAATGTCTTCAAAATTACATCGTAGGTTACTTGGTGCTTTATTATTACAAATCATTGCAGTTATTTCTTGATATATTTCTCTAAATTCAATCTGATTTTTCACTACTTTATTTATTATATCTGCCCTTTTATTTTGTTTCTCTTCATTTATTTTGATTTTTTCTTCATTTTGTTTTCTCTTTTCTGCTAATGACTGGTAGTATTTAATTAAGGCTTGATGTTTTATATTATCTTCTTGCTCATTTTCTTCTAAAATTTTCATTATTCCAGTTTCTTCTTGTTCCAATTTATTTAACAAGTCCTTTTTACGAAGTTGCCATTCTGCTTCAGTATTAATTTTTTGTCTTTCATTGTGTTCCATAAAAGTATGTAAACGTTTATTGATAGCACTCTGCACGTCCTCTCTTCTGTGCAGTTCCAGATCGTTAGCAATTTTAATAAAATGTAAATTTTGAGGTACATTGGATGTAGTAGGTAAAATATCAGGTAATTTTGAAAACGGGCATTTACTTGTAATTGTTTTTGTATTTTTTTGTATTACTTTATTTGGGCCAATTGTAACATTTTTAACATATGGAGTTACCTTTTTACATTTCGACAGGGCAGATATTTTGAAATTTTCGAAGTCATCAAGTATTTCCTCCATTTTTTTCTTATTATTTCAGAATACAGTGCCAAGAAAATTTTTCAGTAAAATTGTACTCACAGTATAAGTCAGAATTATCTCACAATCATATTACCCAAAGGGTAACTGTTTCATTTTATATAACTAAATAAATAATTTCATTATATGTATTTCAACAATAATTATAACTACTCAATCTTATTAGGTTATATCCACTTGTATATGTATATATGTCAGAAGAGTAGGGAATGTAGCCGTCACGCTTGGATGGAACACGAATATAGCCGATGGAATTTTTTAAAATTCTTCAATCTTCTTTTAACGTACTTTTGATAGCAAATGTCGCTCCTGTCTCACTGCCAACTAATTTGTTTAACTATTTAATTTCGTTTTAATTAACGCTATTATTATTATTAATTAATTACTCGTTCACTATTATATCACACACTTTGTCACTTCATAACTCCTTATTTCGTGATTTAATGGGAGTGTGGGATAGTAATAGGAAAGGATATATAAAAACGTGAAAGTGGTGATGAAACTTTGATGCATCTGCTGGAGAGATGTAATAAAAGTAAAGATTTAGATGAATGCGAGGAAATAATAGTCGAATGTGGAGTCTGATCCTATTAAGAAAGATTTTGAAAACTAGAAAGAGCTGAAATATGTAAGAAGTAGGTGGTATAAATTTGGCTTTCTTTTTGTTTTGTTTTGGTTTATTATAGAAAAATATGGTTTATTCACTTTTATATTTTTGTACTTCCTAACTAATATAAAAGCAAATGTGAGTTTGTTTGTTTGTCGGTTTTCATGCCTTCACTACTCAACCGATCATTATGAAGCTCTGTTAGGGGTACAGAAAAGCACATAGTGTCTTTTAACCAGAAACAGTATTGTTCCCGTGGGATAAAATAAATTAGCTTTATGTGGTATATTTCACGCCTTAACTACACAATCTGTCAAATTTTGTAGATACATTGTTAGGGGTACAAAAAAGGACATAGGGTACCTTTTATCCAGAAAAAAATATTGTTCCCGAGGGATAATAAAATTTGTTCAATGTGGTCGATTTCAGGCCTTAAGTACTCAATCGATAATCATAGGGTACCTTTTATCCAGAAAAAAATACTATTCCCGAAGGATAGAAAAATTAGTCATATTTACACGTATTTAGGACATCAGCACGAGCGAAGCCGTGGGTAAAATCTACTAACTGATGTTTTATTTTCTTTTTAGATATTTTTAAATATAATTTCATTGTATTTATTTTTGATTCAAGTATGTTGATAGTATTTTTTTTTAATTGTTAGAAACAATCTTGTAAGAAGACTGGAATAATTATTTTGCTTGTTTTGTAATAAAATACCACGTCAGACAAAAATAAATGTTTTAATAGAGATACAAAAATTTCATTTTATTAACAATATTATTTTTTAATACCTACAATAAATTCAGTGTTAATTAATGATTAGTTAAAATGCTGAGATTTACACTTCATTATCTTTAGTTTCAAGTTGTTCTAGTGCTTTTTGAAGAATCAATAAAAGACCCTCTGCTAGCTCCCTTTCATTATAAGGGGAATTCAGTGGCGGTACGTGCACAAACAAAGTTCTTTCTTTATCTATAGTAAGAGACTTGTAAAAAGTGTATTCACACAAATATCTGAAACAGTGTTAGTTACAATACAATATATATATAATTATATACAACAATGAGAGAAAAGTTACATACCGTCCTGCATTTTTTGATACACAAGATTTTAATTTTCCTTGGTTATTTATTGCGTTACATATTTCTTGAGTATTCAGCTCAGTAAATATCACATCAGTGCCTTTTTCATTTGCACATTCACCATTCTTTAATGTATTACCTTTACAGTCCAAACGATTATAACCATTTCTAAATGCGCAAGTTTCTAATGTAATTTTATTGGCTATACTTGATACCCCTACATGTATCACAAGCTGATAAAACTTAATGTTTAGATTGTGAAAGGAAACGAATTGTGATTTACCTTTGGGTCATACTTTTTCCATAACATGGGTACTACAACATCAACATGATTATATTCTACTGCGATTTCATGAATAATCAAATGTTTCAATTCTGCAATAGTTCTCAATTCCTTTACAGCTTCCCAACTAGCATTTACTTTGTGATCTTTAAATGGACCAAAACCCGTTATAAGTATAATTTCCGATGGCATTTTAAGTTTTTATTGGATACAATTGGATTCAACTTTCATAAAAAAGGATTTAGAATCACTTTTATTTTATATCTACACTGCGATAAAAAATATCTTATCATGTACATCATAAAAAGTAATATTTTTTAATAGAATTAATCTAATGTACATACATACAACCGTAAGTATAACACCAAAAATCCCTTTATATCTATTTGCTTCTATTTTAAAATAATACTTTCGCCTATAGATGCAAATAATCTGAATTTAGAATAAACTAAAAAAATTGAAACTGAAAAATTTAAAATATTTCTAACCTACAAAATTAAAGGAAGCTTTCAAAATCAGTACAACATCCTGTTATTTACTGGTATATTCCATAGATAATGTATATGCATACATAGACATATATTAATGGACGTGCCTTAGCCGTATGTGGTAATAATTTCTTGTCTTGAAAAGTGAGGGAGATGGCGTATGGTTTCAGACTAGTGCTATCTCTATCATGACACGCATACGCACTATCGTAAGAGAGATGGATATTGTCCGAAACTTTGTTCCATCTCTTTCTTTTGTTGTACCACAATTCTGACCGCTAAGGCATGTCCATTAATAAACGTCGATGTATGCATAGCATAGCGTATATGTTACATTCATAGAGTAAGCTAGATTATAAAAATTCGGTTAAGCATACATTTTGTATCTATGTTATTTGTAAGTACTATCTACAACCATACGAGTATTGGTCGTGGAAAGTGGCGCTATCTAATCAGTTAGGTAGTAATCGGGAACTAATAAGGAGCAAGAGTACGAGTATGTAGTCTAGGTAAGTCAGGGTATGAAATGTCGAGCGCGAGCGACACCTAAGTTTACCCCACGTAAGTTTTTAAATTTTTTAAATTACCAAAATCGACATTACCGACATACTAGGCGACATACATTTTACTGAAACGACAACAGATGATGCGACGGCGGTTGCGATTATCGGAGGAATTCCCCAGTAGTTGTGGCGTTATTGAGCGATAGTGAGTAGTTTCACAACTTGTAATATTTTAAAATTTTTGTGAAAAGTACTTTTACCTATCCTGAAAGTAAGTAATATATTAAGTACTTCAATCATGCTTTACAATAAGTAAAGAAAGGATGTTTTCTGCCCAACACAGAAAAACCGTGATGTACAGTCTACACTATTACGGGGTCAAATTAATTTGAAATGTTCTACCTAGATTATACAGTTCCTGCAGGAGTTAAAGGTGAAGAAGCCGCTTTCCATTTTCCTGAAGTAACAGCGGTTCCAACGAAAGTGGCAGGTATTGTAATTTGTTGTTGTGAAACTTAAGTTCTAAAAAAAAATGTTTTGTAGAACTTCTTCTAATAGAGGAATAGAAGCAGACGGAATTGCCCCATTAAAAGATGAAAAAGTACTGCATCCAGTGAAAACATATGACGGGAAAAGAAGAATTGTTTCAACTGCAGGTAGTTATGCAGATAACAGTTTCAAATATCCAAAACATATATAATTATTTGTTATAGAAAGTACACTCACAATGGACAATACAGAAGCTAGTATTTCTGCAGTTTCTGAATCGTTAGCACCCCCTGTAGAAGCAGGAAGCAGTACTAAATTAGGTAAAGAACAATTTCTTTGTTCATACAAATATACCTGTATTATTATCTATGTTTTAATTAATTGATGTTTGCTATTTACTCGTATATTGTGCTAATTGTATTTATTACTGCATTTGTACTTTGTTATTAAATTTGTTAATTTTATTTTTTTTTCTTCAATTTCCATTTAAAACAAAAAAAAATAAAATTCAGTGTAATTTTGAAATGCGCGCCTTAGGTTACCCTTCATAGTTTTATGTATAGATGGCAGTGAAATTCGAAGTTTTCTTTGCCAATACCATTTATATATATATATATTCCAAGTATCGTCTACTAATGTGGGGTAAACTTAGATGTCACTACTATCGTCCAAAAATCTCGAGTTTTACATCTATTTACCTAGTCTAGGAGGTAAGTAGTCTCATATTGTTATCGTTGTGATGTGTCGTGTCGTCAGTTGTACCCATGTTACTGTTAGTCATCCATATTTGTAAATATTCTATATTGTTTAAATGAAGTGTATAAACAACAAGTGTTAATTCGTTAGTTACGATTGGTGTGATTGGGTGCTAGTCAGACATAATAGTTTGGCAACAACGATTTTGACGAACCGCGTGTGCACTTTACAAAAGAAAATCGAATGTCGGCGCCTTTTAAAGTATAGAAACATTAGTATCGTGCGTGTATATATATATATATATATATATTTCAATCTTTTTTTAAACTTAAATTTAAGTAAGGGAGTACTCGTAAAGATAGAACAAAAGAAAAAAAAACTTGTCGCATCGGAACAAAGAACCAACAGTTAGTCATACAAAATGGTGGACACCGGAAATGGATGCAACAATCAACAATCAACAACGTTTTTAAGCTATTTTCGTCCATTTTCGTCGCATTTTAGTTGGTTGGAACTCTGATGAATTTTGTTTCATCAATAGCATCGAAGTTGAAATACCACATGTGGAGGGCTAAGTAGACGTTACACAACCAGAATAGGGTGCTATTTTTGACCTATATAGGTCACAAAACGTATCAAACCTTGCACACAAGCTGTCTACTACTGAAACCACGTGCAAAGTCATTGTCGCAGCTAATAAAAATTATAAAAAGACAGGTAGAACAACCTAGAAGTTTATTAGCAACGTGTAGGTGTAACCTGAATCAGAGAGTCCAAAGAGACGATCAGTCTGCCACAGATTTCACAGATGCATTGACGAAACTTGAAATTCCATGTGAGTATGGGGCTCACCTTGATGATACATTAAGGGACAGACTTGTTGACATCAAGTGTAATGATACAAGGAGAAAACTCTTCAGCACTCCAAATCTTAACTGGGAAATGACAAAACAGATTATTTTGCAAAACGAGGTCATCCAAATACAATCTTGTCTATTAGCCAGGGCTCTTCCAGTCAGAAACAGCTTTACAAATAGAAGAGGTCAAATCCCTCCAGGAAACCGTCCCTTCATGCAGTACCATCTTAATCGACAATCCAACCACAGTCAATATACTGTAGATAACAAACAAATCAAGCACTACATAGGCAGTCAACACAAACTAACTCAACTACAATCAAAACAAAATGCCAATACAAGTAAGTAACAACCTAATGCTGGTTATGGATGTGGCCGCCTGCATAACCCAAATTTCTGCATTGCAAAAAATTGGCAGTGCCAACCATGTAATAAAATGGGGCGCACTTCAAAGGTATGCAGAAACAAAAATAAAGTTCATTTTTGTGATGTACTATCAAGGTCCCAGAAATCAAGGCAACATGTGTCTTCATCTGCTCAATCAACTGAGAACAAATTGGTTGATTCTCTTTTATTACCGAAGATATTCCATATCAACACCATACAGGACGAAATAAAAACCAAGTTCACATAAAGGCACCCAATGTCAACCACATGGAAACAAATTGAATCAGCAATATAATTCACTACCACTAAAAAACAGAATTGGGTAGCCAACGAGGACCAAGAAATAGAACCCTTTCATAAAGTGAAAGATCGGTTATCTATAGAAGACAAATGTCTAATGTTTAGTAACAGAGTTGTGGTTCCTTTGTCCCTACAAGCAAAAATAATGAGATTGTTACATGAAGGACATTTAGGTATAGTACGTACAAAACTACTAGCGCGTTCAACTGTATGGTGGCCTCAAATGAATTCCGACATAGAAACATTCTGCAAGCAATGCGAGGCTTGCTCCAAACTTTCAACATCATACAAGCACATCGCCATGGCCAAAAACGCCAGTACCATTTCTGGGAATTCACATAGATTTTTACCAATTAAATGAGCAGAATTTTTTCATTATATGTGACACATTCTCTAAGTTTTCGCACTGAGTGGAACGGGAGGCCTGCAAGGAGGCAAATTAAGAGGCCTAGAAAATCTCACTGAGTGGGAAATATACATAACGGCCGCCCTCAAATACGAGCAATCGAGGTGCCGGATGGTGGAAGCATCACGACGGATGCAGATAAATTTAGATGCGCGAGAGCAAAACTTATTTGGTCACTAGCCCCGTCATTAGAGAATCTCTTTACAAAGAACGATCCGGCGAAGCAGATTTGGGATAAAATCCACAGTGAGTTTACAAATAACGAATAGGCATACGTTCGTAGAGTGATATGTCAATTATATATAACGAAAGCAGCGAATTTTGCATCAATGAACGAATATAGTAACCGTATCATGGACCTCGTGACTCATATTGTAAATGCTGGCGTGCCAGTTCATGATAAACTAATTGTTACTTTCTTAGTCGGAGGATTACCATCTCGTTTTGAGCCTTTTATTTTAGGTCTCGAAGGATCATGCAAAGAAATGACTCCGGACCTCCTTAGAAATAAATTGATAATTGAAATTATAGTACTGTAGCGAGCACGAACGTGTTTATCGATTCGCCGACTAGCCGCGGGCGCCTTTCTTCATGTGCGCCGTATCTGTAAACGTGTGTGTCGTACCTGCGTTCCGGGAAAGCAATTAAACAGTTCGAAGAAAACGAAACTTTTCCGGACGGCTTGAAGATGTTCCCAAAAGGAAGCAAGGGAGTATTTAAAGGAAGAGACGATCGCCGAAGTGGAGTAGAAATAAATTGACCGTCGCAGAAGTGAATCAAGGAATAAATTTACAGTGATAGAAGTGAAATAAATAGAACAGTGAATAGTAACAGTAGTGTAAATAAATAGAATAATTACCTAAGTTTAGTAATAATTTAATAGTGTTTTCAAGTCCAATAATAATTAGTGTAAATAAATTGTTTTCTTCTTAAAAGTTAATTTGTTAAACCCACGAACATTACAACTGGTGTCAGGTGTGGGGTTGAGTAAAAGACATTACAATGGCAAAGAAGTTGTACGAATTAAAAGTAGCCGAGCTAAGAAGAGAATTGGAAGAACGGGATGATGCGACAAGCGGTAAAAAATCGGAACTTCAGTGGCGGCTCGCGGAACCGTTGAAGGATAGCCATGATCCTGAAACGTTCCTTTTCGAAGACGAATTGTCGCAAATCCTGGAACGTGAATTGGAAGAAAATAGTAAAAGTTTGGAAAATAAATTGGAAGAAAACAGTAAAGGTTTGGAAAATGAATTGGAAGAAAATAGTAAGTTTGGAAAATAAATTGGAAGAAAACAGTAAAAGTTTGGAAAATAAATTGGAAGAAAACACTAAAAGTTTGGAAAATAAATTGGAAGAAAATAGTAAAAGTTTGAAACGTGAATTGGAAGAACACAGTAAAAGTTTGAAACTTGAATTGGAAGAAAACGGTAAAAGTTTGGAAAATAAATTGGAAGAAAATTGGAAGAAAATAGTAAAAGCCTGAAACGTGAATTGGAAGAAAACAGTAGAAGTTTGGAGAATTAATGGGAAGAAAAATTTAATAAAAATATTCAAGAAACAGAAGAGAAAATAAAAGTGCTGGAAGAATTGATTTTTAATGGAAAGACAAAACCAATCGAAGGGGATGTTGGCGCATCTAGTACACTCAACGAAGCCAGCCAAATCAGCGAAGGAAGCGGTATAGAGTTGAGAACACGAGTAAAACCACCAACGTTTGACGGAAAGTCCTCATGGACCACATACCACAAGCAATTCAAGGCCGCTGCTAAGGCGAATAACTGGGCGCCTGAAGAAAAAGCCACGTCATTGACCGTTGCTCGTGGAAATTTATGTGACATTGTGAACACCCTTTCTCCGGAAGAATTGGCGGATTATGAACAGTTGGTAAAACGGCTAGAGTTGCGCTACGGCGAGGCTCATTTAACAGCAGTGTGTCACATCCAACTGAAAACCCGTCAGCAGAAACCAACGGAATCCCTACAAGAATTCGAGGCCGATATTGCGAGACTGTCCCGACTGGCCTATCCTAATATTCCAGAAGAATTGATGGAAAGGTTGGCAGTGGAGGCATTAACTGATGGACTTCGGGACAGTGGCACTCAACAACGAATACGCCTTGACAGACCTAAGACGCTAGCTGATGCATTGGCTCGTGCATTGGAGTACGAAACTGTTAAATGGACCTATAGCAAACAGGGAAGGGTTCGGCTACTGTGTGGAGAAACGGATTCGTCAGAATCTTTAGAAGAAACTGCCGAATCATCTCCAAGTTCGATAAAGAAACTCGAAAGCTGAGATTTTGGAATTGCGGCGAACTTAACTTCGTTTTGGCTTCAAAATTGCACTTTTAACTTAAAATTTACGCCACTGATCAAACACTGTACAAAATAAATAAACGCTGTAACTGTACCAGTATTTTCGAAGTGAAATTATTAGAATTTGCTAAAGGGGACGCTTTTAGTTTAAAATAGGAAACTAATAAGACAATAAAATTTGGAAAATATGAACATATGAAATACTAGGGAATAGATTTAGGCCCTAAACTATAATAAAGTTATTTGCACAGGGACAATATTATTATTAACAAG